CGGATAATGAAATCTCGATTATCACTTTATCATGCGAGAGTATAAAATGTTCGGTGACACCCGAACTTAGCCCTTCCTTACTTGTTATATATATTTTTCTTTATCAAAAAAGTGTTTGTGGTGTATTGGTATCACGTTTTAATAGTTCAGAGCATATAGTTTTTGCATACATATGTATATAACTATGGTTTGCCGTGATTAATTTGCAGGTTACCAAGTTGTCTATTTTGAGTTGGTATATCTTGTTGATTTTACCTTCACTAGTTTACAGATTTTGCGTTTTGTCTCTTACTTTATTTCAATATCATATTAATTTTTTGAATTGTTGTATAAAAAATGTGATTTTCCGAGTTATGTAATTTAGAAGCTGCTTTCATTTATTTTATTTTAATTTTCGGAGTGCGGTACTGAACTATGAACGTTAAAAACAGTTTTTCACTTAAAAAGCAAAGTTATAATTTGTAGTTTCAACCTTATGTAGATACGTAGTTCTTGTAGGTTATGTAGTTAAGTTAAAAGTTAACATAGTTTCGATTTAATCAAATTTAGCTTTCCTTTTTATTTTTATTTTTTATTTTTGCTTTGGTTCAATTATTCTAGAGTTTTATTTAACTTCACAAATGTATTATTTTTGATAGTTCCACCAATTAACTTTATTAATATTTGGGTATAGGTAGGTTCACCTGGGAACGACTAAGAGCACTATCACCATACACTCTTACAATTTTAGCGTACGTTTTCGAAGCTGTTTCGCCCAATCTGGCGCAAAATTTTGTCGCGACTCGTTGYTCTTGATTTCGTTTTTCCATTTTCGTGACGAGCACTACGAACGCACGTCTACTCAACTTGAAGCAGCAGGCGAACTAAACAAGCTAGAGCGATGGTATGTATATGTATGTATATCAATGGAGAGGGCAGGGATGCCGGAAAAAGAGAAAGGAAATTTCAAGGTCACAGGTTTACCACGAGCGCGGCAATAAAATCAGTCTCATTACTTAATTGTCAAACCTCGTATTTGTCTGGCATATGCTTTGCTGCCTAGCGCCTGGATCCATATTGGATTCAACGCCGGTTGAAACGCACTCAGCTTTTATTTATCATCATTCTAGATAAGGCATTCAGGATTTTATTCGCTTAACCTGCATAGTAATCTACGTGATCCTTAAATTTTAGTATTGAGTCTACTATTACTCCCAGATATTTTAGGTGAGGCTGTGAATGAATCTCGCACTCTCCAATGGTGAGACATATTTATTCTTCCACTTTTCTTGTACTTATGAACAAGACTTCTGTCTTTTGCTCAGCCAGTTCTAAACTCATTGAGAAGAACCATTTTCGCAGGCTGTCTATGCACTCATTGCATTTGCTCCGGAGGTCGTCGAGGTGTTTAGCCACTGCTACCACAATAAGATCGTCTGCGTATGTAACTAATTCAGAAGCTTTCGGTTGGTGTCTCCTTAGCACCCCATCATAATGTTCCATAGAAGGGGCCTAGTGTCGAGGCTTACGCGATTCCATCCGAAATCGAGTAGCTCTTGGTGCCTTCATCTGTATCGAATAACAGTGGCCTGTTTTATTTATTTCTTGATAAATTTAAGTATACCTAATAAATAACTAAGAGTTTAGACACAATTGTCTCATCATCATCTCTTAATTATAAAAATGATCGTAATATGATATAAACTTAATTATGACAATATATAAGTAGGGGTGAAAATTGAGATATTTTGAGATAAGGTAAAAAAAGACTTTTTTGCGAATTTATTTCTTTAATAGTAATTAAGTAATTTTATTCAGACTTTTGTACATTATTGAGCATGCTTTTGGCAACCTGGAGCAATATTTTCATGCAGAGATATTGAAGCATAAGCCGGTAACAGAGCTTTTCCCATAACGTCTTGAGAAAAAACCCTTTACGAGTTACAAACTCGGTTGGAAATTATCCAGAAATAAAAAAACCAAGAAAAATTAGTCAAATTATTAGGTTGTCAAAAAAGTCTTGCGGTATTTCTTACGGTATTTTTATTGAATTTTTAATTGTTTATAGAATTTTTTTTGATGACTCATGCCCTGCTCTTGACCGATGCTACAGCTGCTATTATGTCGGTCTCTTTCGACCAATTCAGCGATTTTATCGCAATTTTCGACGACAGGCCTTCCGGAGCGTGGCGCATCTTCGACCACCTCTACACCAGAACTCTTATACACATCTAGATGTGTATAAGAACCACCTCTACACCAGAACGAAAACGTTGAAACCATCGTTGTGCGGTGGAAATGGAAACTGTACCATAAACTCCACAAATTTTATTGGCGGCTTAAGATGCATTTTTGCCTTTATCGTAGTAGTACTGTAAAATATGAAGTATTTTCTCTTTATTTTGCTCCATGTTTGCGACGCTGTAACTCACGAACGACTTAAAGGAAACGACAATCAATCAAACACGTGTTAGCGCGTGAAATGAGCTTTCCAAAAAGGTATAGCCTGACCCGATGCGACGAATGAAACTAGAACTACGTGTTCTCAGCGCCAACTAGCGAAAATATAATCAAATCTTATCCCCATCGTCTTCTGATATATTTTTCATTTAATAATGTTTCACGGTCATTTAAAGTGAAAACTGCTGTTTCCTTAATATAAAAAAAAACTTTACTATAAAATGAGTTAGGTACATATTTTACATCAAAAATGTTACAAAGTTTGAAATGAATTGGCCAAGTAATTTTGAAATCACAGTGTACACGGACTTCGCAAAAAGAGTTTTGAGACGAAGAACAGAAATTTTTTTTACCATGAAATATTTTTCAAAATTTTTTTTTACGATTAAATTAAATCAATCGGAAAGTTAACTTGATTCATTTAGTAAAAGAGCCAATCATGCCATATTACGTTAAAAGCAGTCTTGATGTTCATTAATACTTTGTTTGGAGACTGATTCCTTATGAAATAGCTTCTTATTCTAACTAAAGGATGAACAGCGTTATGTTTATTTCTAAAGAAAAACTGTTGTTAGAAGAACTCCATTGTGTTCAATGAAAGTTGCTAATTTTGTGGGACGATAAGAACAAAGATCTATAGAAGCTATGTTAAGTGACAAGATAAAATTAACCACTTCAGGATCGCTCGAATGAGCAGATGCAATGTGATTCCTAATGAAAATCTGACTAAGGATCGCACATTTTTCACTAGCAGTAGTGTATCAGATTGTATTATCTTTTAACGTTGGACTGTATGAACCCTCCTTCTATAATACGTTTGTTATGTTCCAAATGGAGAAAGTAGATTGTTCCAGTATTCATTGTGGAGTTTTAACATTAACTTTTATGCATATATTGAGTTGACTCAACAAAATTGAAAGAATTCAGTTCGACATTTAGTAAATTTTTAGAGGCATATCTTGAGTATCTTGTCTAGTTTGCGTTTTTGTAGTATACCTTTTTGAGTTATCAATCATTGAAGATAACCGATACAACTAAATGATCAGAATTGACACAGGTTATAAGAAAAATGCCGAGCGTTGAACTTTGTTGTCCTTTCCCACAGGAACATGGTTGCAATCTTAACGAAAACAATATGAAAATTTCTTCGAATAATGTCAGCAGAAAACTGTTGCCTCTTGTTGTTGGTTCCACCTTCATGACCCCCAAGAAAATAACAAAAAAAATATTAGAGTACTCGTTAGATGAGTTTGTAATTTGAAAAATAAGCGTTTTAAATAAGCGTAGTGTTAGATGGAGAAACGAAATGGTGTCGAATTTTTTTCTTAATTAAAACTGCTATTGCTACTGAATTATAATCGATAACAACACTAAATATCGTTCAATCTGTAAAATATGTTATTGAAATTCGGTGAAATGTTTCTTTAATAACACAGCTGTACAATCAATACAATACTTCTTTTGGCCCCCTTATACCTTTTTGAACTTCCATTTATTGCATATCACTTGGCCAAAGTGGGAGTTATTTTTAATAGAAGCATTTTTTTGGCATAAGTGACTGAAATTCAGGACTTTGAAACGTTCGGCTTAATTTATTGTATATACATATATGTTTATAAACTGCTTGAAAATAAGTTCTCAAGTACACCTGAGCAATGTCTAAATGAATGAAAGTCCGAAGGGGTCGTTTAGGTTTTTATCACAAATATCTCATTTGGGAAATATTTTTATATAATTTTCGCTGACGGAAAGTAGAATATAGCAGTAAAGCTAAGTTTATGAGATAAAAAATATGGGAATGTTGGTTTACTCCTGGGTTTTCCGATTAAATTCATGGGGATTATACGTGTGAAAGACCAGTGCATATACATATACGTATTTTTTCTCATTTCAGGGTATTTTAGTAGAGAATAATGTAACTGGTCGACTGGAACCAAGAGAAGCACCAGCGTGGAAACGTCGCGTTTTTCGATATCTAGTTAGTTTTCCTGTGATCGGAATGTGCCTCGCGCTTGTTTTTGTTGTGATGTTTCTAATGCTACGATTCCAGGTGAGTGACCTATGTAGATATTCAAACAAAATAATCGAAATGAGGAGCATAGATGTCAGCAATAGATAATTTAGAGCAATGAAATAAAATATTAATMAGCGTGTGAGGAAGATTTTGATTCGTTTTATTATTTAGTGACGTATATGCAAAACTGTAACATCGTTTAATCGCAACCGTCGCAATTAAATTTTTTGTACATTAGCAATTCCTTGACAGCTAGTGCCAAATGAAAGAGCGCGATTTTGAAGATACATACCAGCCATAGCAGCATAAAATCAGCTTTACAGCTCTATTTCAATTTACTGCTATAACGCTTTAAATAATAAGTTCAGCAGATTTTTAACCCTTTAAAGCACGACATTTTAATTAATTCTGTTGTTTCATTTATTTGCAAAGTCGTTATAAGACCATTTCATATTTAATTTACTTTGGCTATATTCAGTTATTGTAAGCTAAAGCTTATAAAAGCAATTTACAAATTACTCTTAGATTTAGGTAAAACAATTCTCAAACACATTTAGCTTGTTTTTCTTTGTAATTTTTTTAGATTTTGATAGTTTTCCACAAATCTACAATCAGGTTAGGTTTTGCTTACTTTTCTTATTTCGGTTTAAGTAAAATTCACAAACTCATTTCATGCAATACATTTATTTTTTACAGGATTGGCTGGATCATAATAACATACCTGATAGTGGAATTGCTCAATGCATGTATAATTTGCACAAGGTTATTATAAGTTTTTAACTCCTTATTTGTGTATTTTATATTTTGGTATTTATACAATACATTCATATGCACATACGTTCATTTTCATATGTACATACAAGTATTACTGAGGACAAAAAATAGTAAGAATTTTAAATTTAAATTTCGCGCGAAATAATTTTTTCCGAAACCGAATAAACTAGGCCAAAGAGGGTCAAAATCAAGGTTATGTTGACAGTTTTCTTCGATTATTGATTATTCCGACCKGGCAAACTATCAACAAGGAATGTATATTTGAGTGTTATGCAACGTTTGCGCCAAGTAGAGTATCTAATAAGAAACCAGAATTATGGTCCGTCAATTCTTTGTTTTTGGACCACTATAATGCACCGTCGTATACTGTGTTGATTCATTGTGAATTTTTAACAAAAATTTCAACCAACATCATGCTCAAAACAATTGTTTTGAGGATTGGAAAAAAGTTGAAACAAGTGTACTGGAGCCAAGGGGAATTACTTTGACGGGGATGACATAGGTTTTGAAAAATAAATTAAGAATTTTATTTTTGTTTGCTCATAGTAGTATATTATATATATGTATATCTGTGTTAATTCGTACATAATATATTCTATTTTTTTTAATACAATTGAGAATAAGTAAATTTTACATGTGGAATCAAAACTAACGTCGCGTCAATTATTAATTAGTATGGGAGACAATTACATAAATGGATATTGTTATGCTTTAAAAAATGTTTTGGGGTCTGAAATTACAAAGAGATTCCATATTTCCATATACATTTATTCAACTGAATAGTGAACTAAACCATATTTTCAAAAGAATTCAAATCATGTACATATGTTCGTTTAATTTCACAAAGTATGGACAAAAATTTTGCAATCTATCGCTGATATCTAAATTAATTCTGCAAATAAGAAGTATTTATAAATTATACATTTGTTCATGACATATATTTTAATAGGATTGGTGGGACTCTAAATTGCCGGAAGAAAGCATTCTATGCTGTTTCAGTGTAATACCAAAGGTCTTATTAGCTGGGGCAATCACATTAATGGATGAGGCTTATTATAAATTAGCTGTCTGGCTTAATGATCACGGTTTGTTCAAGTCGTTTTCTGTATCGTATTCAATATAATTTGTATTGTTTTAGAAAACTATCGTCTTCAATCGAAATACGAAAACCATCTTATTGCAAAAGTGGCTCTTTTTCAGTTCGTCAACTCATTTTTGTCCTTATTCTACATTGCTTTCTATCTTCAAGATGAGGATAAGCTGAAAGAGGTAAGTAAGAATAATCTTTATGAAATATACTTCCATTATACAAGTAAATTTAAAAATATATAAGTTTTTATATGAAAAAAGATTGTTGAAAAACACCGTTTTTTACACGAGGAAATCTAAATAACTCGTTAAGAAAAATGTGAGAAAAAATTATTTACAGACTTCTCTTCTCTCCTTTCGGATAAACTTTTTAAGAACCATTTGTTGATTTCCTATCTTAATTACTAACCTTTTGTTTCGAGTTCGTATCTAAATCAAATTAATTGAATTAAAAGCCTCAAGTTATCAGAGAAATTCAGATATTTATATCTCACAAGAGGGTTGCCTTTTATATTCGGGGTTTAGAGAACTAAACACACTTTTATTAATAATCGAAAATTGCTTTGTTGTTTTCAAAACTTTTTTCACTAAAACCTATACACTTTTGTATGCGTTTGAACCAATTGTCGAAGCACTTTGGCCACTCTGACTGAGGTATCTCCAAAACATGCACCAAGCATGCATTTACCTTACCTCTTAGTTTCTTTTTATGTACAGGAATATGAAGAAGTTATTCGGTGCCTAATCAAGATTACACGGCGGATGACTCATCGAATCGATATTTTGAGTGCTTCAAAAAGCAGTTGTTTCATTCCATTTGTCAGATATCGTAGTGTCGTGGTTAAGAGTGGCTCGTCTTCGGCGGAAGATTTCCCTGATTTCTTGAAAGACAACTATTAAACCTATGGTTGTGTACCACTCATAATTTATTGTTCTGCGTTGTTCTAGTGATCTGATTGCGATATGCCAAGTAAAAGAACAACAGGCAACCATTTGCTTTGAAGTGCATCGTGTGCAAAAACCCTTATTGCATTCGGCTCATCTTGAAACACCTATACAGCTGTTCTTTACTTTCGGGCTCATATAGGGAAATTTACGATTCATCATCTTTCATATGATGTGTTTCGAAGCTATCGAATTTTTTTCAATGGTTTTATCGACGAGTAAAGTAGTAATTAAGTTTGATGAGTAATTGCTTTCGTTCTTTCTTTATACTATAATTTAAGATATATGTCACCTATAAAAAAACAATATTTTAACTTATTATTTACTCTCTCATTCTGTCTAGCAATTGGCCGGATTGTTAATTTCACGACAAATAATTGGCAACCTTCGAGAGTCAGCAATACCTTACTTCATTGAACAATGGAAACTAGCTAAATTGAGCTTTAATATGTGGGGTGCGCTTAGCCCAACACAGGATATCAACCGAACCATAATGGATTCAAGTATTTCAACGACCACATCGACAGCATCCACTACCACTGGAAAAATAAAAGTGGAAACACCGCAACAAACACCTACGAAACACGAATCCAGTAACCCATTGRTAAGAACTACAGCTTCAGCATGTAAACGGAATATCGGGCAAGCAGAGATCGAAAGTACCCTTTACAAGGTAAATAAATGGTAACCTGTGTATTTAAAAAGTCAATATGATACAATATTGACAATTACAGTACGATGGGACATTTTCCGATCATTTAGAGATGCTGGTGCAGATGGGTTATGTAGTACTTTTCTCTGCTGCTTTTCCATTGGCCGGTATATGTGCGCTCGTCAACAACTTGATGGAGATACGTTCGGATGCCTTCAAATTGGCCCACGTTCACCAAAGGCCATTCGGTCAGCGTGTGGCTAATATTGGTACCTGGCAAAATGCGTTTAGTATTTTGTCGTTGGCTGCAGTCATTGTCAACTGTGCGTTGATTGGCTTATCCGGGCAAGTTTCACGTTTATGGCCTGGACTAACAACTGCTCAAACAATAATTTTGATTGTTACCTTGGAGGTATTACGAAACCCAACTTTTTTATTTCCTGCAGTACATTATTTATTTTAATTATTACTTTACTTACTGTCATTATTTCAGCACATTATGTTAGGATTGCGTTCAGCGCTTACATGGTTGCTACCTGAATTGCCGTCGTGGTTGGCAGCKGAAATCGCACGTGCCGAACATTGTCGCAGAGAGATGCAATGTAAGGGAACTTCACCGCGACCCACACCACCGACACCTCCATCTACTACTTCCACACAGCCAGACCAGGATGYCTTAATTTTAGAAGGCACAACCACTAATGATCAATCAATGGAGAGTCAAGTCGCTGAGGATATTTTATACCAAGAGCAATTGCGGCAAAGCTCAAACTATCCGCAAATGGATGAAATAGTCAATTTCGGCCTACAACGCASTATTGAAGCAGATGTGAATATATTTGAGAATCGTGATTCTTCGCCAGACTCACCCCCTTCACAAGTACAAAAGCTGTATATCGCAATCGCATATTTTCTACTACTTTTAATATTGCAGACCAGTACTATATTGATAAGACCTTTACATGAATCAACACCGCCAAACAGTGGTTCATCAATGGCGAGCTTAATTCAGGAGACTGGCCACGGACACGGCAGGTTAGTCTATTTATCAAATAAATTTCTTAATTATTTAAAGCTTCTGCTTTAAAGTTTACGTTTTGACACTTTTTACATAAGTTTTCAATAATATCAATAATACAATTTTAATAATCTTCTACCTCAAAGTAAAATTGTTAAAGTTATTTTCACCCAAACGCTTTTCAACTTTTATTACTTTTCATGCAGAAAATTCTGTAAAATTATTGTTCTAAAAATTGTATTATCTTGCAACATATTTCACATAATGTTTGTGAGTAACACTCAAAACAAAATAAGATATGTATAGAGGTGTGTTTATTACATTGACGGAAATTACGAATTACGTGTGCCACGTCCACTAAAAACAAATATTCAAATACACTTAAACTTCTATTATTGACGTATTAAACTGCAAAATATCTGGGCATACGTGATTTTTTGTTGTGTTTAAAAAGTAAGCACGGTCTTTACTCGGTCGGAAACTACCGTGGTTACAAAATTCTTAGAAAGTGGTACATTCGTATATCGAATATGAAAATCCTCAATGCCTATGGCTAAAGTCAGCCGATAACCTTGGTTAAAATTAGGTTTAATTAGCTCTGTTTTTGACTACGCAGAGCACAGCACTTCATTTTGACAATTGCTAGAGGTAAAGTTTTTCACCTAACAAAACTTCTAGCAGAGAAGAGCACATACTTTTATATTGTTATGCTAAGGCTTTACTATGGCTCCCGTCAAAGTGAGAGCAGTAGCAATAGCAAAAATAATGCTACGGGAGTAGGGTAACTTTTCAAACGCTGAGTATATGTATTATTGTAATAGCCATGCTTCCTTGCCTACAATGTATTGTTGGGACAGAAATTAATGAAATTGAAGCAATCCTTGATCTAGCCCAAACATTCCTTTAAGGATCTCAATTACATTGCTAAATGTACCTAATATCAAAGGTATATTTGGTAGGTTTACAATGTGTGTTTTCGTTAAAAATGTATGAAATCGCTATGTTTCCCTAATCATATTAGTAATTATTTCCATCTCTCCGTTGATTGCAATCAATTTACAATTTCTCCGAATAACGATTCATTTGTAATATTTTGCGATCATTCGCCAATACTCCTTTGTGAGAGTAAAAAGTTCGACTRCATCTGACTTTACACTTTCTAAGAAGCTTCAACCAAAATATACAACCAATGGTGCTACTATTTTCAAGCATTCTAGAAACTAATGATATATTTTTKATTTCTTCAAATTGAATAAAATAAAAATGATATTGTTTCAATCGAGATTTATACTATTTAGGAGACATTTATCACATTATATTTTATTACATATAAACAGTTTATACTTGTATATTCAATTGCAAATCTTAACTATCAAATATTATAATAAATAAATTATTTATGTATATTAATATATTTGTAATATATCTTTTAAATTGTTATATTTATTACCATATTATTGTTGACTTCATATAGCGCATGTAAAAGTTGTAAGCTGAAAATGAAAAATATGGAAATACCCCCATTTCATGGATATTCAATTCGTAATTTAAGCTCAATTCAATCGAATCAAAGATTGCACGCTTTTTCAGGGTAATTAATTTTTTTGTGTCCTGTATATAATGAGAGAATGTAAGCATATGAATAACTGTGTGTCAACACATAAACATTCATAGCCGTGATACATTTATCTACAGATAGATCTTCGAATGTAGATATGTTAAAAGGGTGTGCWTTTGATATTAACTTGTGTTATTGTTGAACATTTCAAATTTTTAGTTTAATTCTTAATTTATCATAGCAATAAGAAAATGAATGTGCAATTAAATGATACTTGCTTTCAAATACTGTTGGGATTTATAGAAATTCTATACATATATAAATATATAGTACATGGATAAAAAGTTGTATGTATTCATAGATTCATAACTAATTTACGTGTGCGGCCTTAAGCTTATTTTCAAATAACTAAAAAAAAGTATAGGCTTTGAAGCTATCGGCCGGCTTTTTAAAAGTTAGTAAAGTAATTTATTTTCGCCATACTTTTCACTAACTCAATTTTAATCACCCTCGGTTTAAAGTCAATTTCACTAAATCTTTTTTATGGATCATATATTGTGAAACAATAAGCTTTAAATTTAATATTAGTGCGAATGAATATTTATATTTTATAATATTATAATTGTCTTTTATAACTACACTAACTAGATTGACAGATTAAAAATACACAACAAATTGTTAGCATGATAAAACCAAATCATAGCCGATATTGCACTAAATTCCGTTTGATTATACTCACATATGTATATAGTAAATTTGTGAATTAAACATTAATGTAATGAGCACACAAAATTTACATTAGAGCGGTTCATTAATTTTGGAATTCGAAAAAAATGGTTATTAAAAATTTAGATGTTTTTGTTATGTTAGCATAAATAATATTGGAAATTGCTTTGGTGCCAATACTTGTCAGAACATAAAAGTCTGAGCAAAGAAAAATATAGATTTAGAAATAATTCTAAAAACAAAAAACTAAACCGCTCTAATGTTAATATGTGATCATGTAGATACTTATGTATTCCTAATTTTTAAAAGCTTTCATTAATGGTGAATTTTCTCTCTTTCTTATTTTTTCTGCTTTAATTTTCTATTCCGCATTTTTTATTTGAAATGTTTCTAAATTTATAACCATATTTTTGCATCCAATTTTTCTCGCCAAACTTCCGCCTTCCGTTTGCTTCTGCTCCTGTATTCCTGTATTTGATTTTACCAATTATTTAGAGTTTCTTTAAGCAGTGCAAGCACTCTGGCATTAAATACTATCCGTCAGCCTATWCATATACCAGAGATACCGCCTTTCCGGAAAAAATCAAATGACTCAACTGATCAAACTGGTAGCAGTGCGAGCAGTAGTCCGCTGCGCTCCAGACATCCGCTTATTTCGACACCTCCACCCATGTTACAGCATCAACCCACAAAAATACCGGAGATACCACCTTATAAACAGCGCAAAATCTCGGCAGAAAGTGCCACACATATAAATATGAGTGTAAGATATCACCATTATATTTTTAAACTACATATGTATGTATTTATKTATATATGAACCCACCTAMGGAAATAGAGTACACAGTTATAAGTTTTTAATTATTGATTTTCTTCATGTATTGTTAATAGTATTASCTTAGCCCACAAACCCTTTGTAAATGTCGTAAGCGTAAAAGTTAAATTAATGTTATAGTAATTCAATGGTTCACCAAAGCTTAAATAAACAAGTAAGGAAGGGCTAAGTTCGGGTGTSACCGAAYATTTTATACTCTCGCATGATAAAGTGATTATCGAGATTTCATTATCCGTCATTTACATTACATATTTTTTTATTTTGCTTTAAAATTAATTAGATTAGATYAATTTGTTTACTTTGAGTATTGAATTGTATTTTCATTTATTTTAATTGTATTGAAAAGTTATAGTCCGATCACGATAATTTTTTCACAAGGGATACCTCAGCTCAAATACCGYATTTGTGTAAAGTTTTATTCCGCTATCATCATTGGTTCCTAATGTATATATATAATACAGAGAAGGCATCAGATGGAATTCAAAATAGCGTTATATTGGAAGAAGGCGTGGTTGTGAACCGATTTCACCCATATTTCGTACATGTCATTAGGGTGTTAAGAAAATATTATATACTGAATTTCATTGAAATCGGTCGAGTAGTTCCTGAGATATAGTTTTTGGTCCATAAGTGGACGACGCCACGCCCATTTTCTATTTAAAACAAAGCCTGGGTGCAGCTTCCTTCTGCCATTTCTTCCGTAAAATTTAGTGTTTCTGACGTTTTTTGTTAGTCGGTTAACGCATTTTTAGTAATTTTCAACATAAGATTTGTATGGGAGGTGGACGTGGTTATTATCCGATTTCTTCCATTTTTGAGCTGTATATGAAAATGCCTGAGGGAAACGACTCTATAGAGTTTGGTTGACATAGCTATAGTAGTTTCCGAGATATGTATAAAAAACTTAGTAGGGGGCGGGGCCATGCCCACTTTTCCAAAAAAATTACGTCCAAATATGCCCCTCCCTAATACGATCCTTTGTGCCAAATTTCACTTTCATATCTTTATTTATGGCTTAGTTATGACACTTTATAGAAGAAATCTACAATTTGGGAACAATACAAATAACAAGTAAGATTGCAACCAGCAGCAATCCAAGCCATGGAAATGCCTTAAGATGTAAACGTCAAGACAGAGGATCAGAATCCAAGCAATTTGATATATACTCAATATAACTGACCCACAATTTCCGCATGGTAGTTGTTAGAAAGACGAAAATCATTATACGTAGTATATGGGAGTTAGTGGTATCGACCCGATTTTATTTATTAACTATTTATAATCATGCCCCATACTACCAAAATTTATTTAAGGCACCTTACATACAATAACTAATCACATGGAGAGAAATGAGGCAGATGTGATCCTGATATTAATTATAAAGGTTGCCCAATTTTGTCTATTTTAGGCGCAAAGATAAACTGTTATGAGTGAAACACGCTCTATAATTTTAATTGAGATATCTTAAATATTTTCCGATATATGCAGWACAAAGTCACCCGGAAGTTCGAAGATCTTTATTTTAATTATATAAGGACTCAGGGAACAATTGATCCGATTCAACCCATTTTAAATAACCAGAATTGCTATTGTCAAGAAGGAATACTCTCAAGTACAGTTTCAATTGTATATCTCACACATTGGCCGATATTTTCGGTCAAAAGTCAGCTATAATACGCTATAATACTGGGGTCCACATATTCGGTACCTAGGGGTTTGAAAACTTTTGGCTGGATTTGAACAATTTTTGACCATAAGAAGGCATACTTTAAAAGAATTATTAGTGCACAATTTTATTCCGTTA